GGGGCCATGAAATTCACAATTTTGGAAGAGGCACTCTTGCTCATCATAACTATGTACTTAGTTACTGTATTTAATACCCAGGAGCAGAGAAGAAGATTTTCAAAGAATTAATGCATTTTCACTATATAATCAATAGAGCCCCGCCCTAACACCAGAACCCCTGACCCAGGGGCCATGAAATTCACAATTTTGTAAGAGACACTCTTGCTCATCCTAACTATGTACTTAATTAGTTTATTTAATACCCAGGAGCAGAGAAGAAGACTATCAAAGAAACAATGCACTTTCACTATATGATCTATATAGCCCCGCCCTAGCACCAGAAGCCTTACCCTGGGGCCATGAATTTCACAATTTTGGTAGAGGGCTCAATGTTTATTACAATCATGCCAACAGTTTGACTGCTTGATGTCCAGGAGTAAAGAAGAAGATTTTTAAAGATTGCATTAATTTTGGTGGTTTAGCCCCACCCCTCAGGCCCCAGGGGGGCAGGGACCATGAAATTCACAATTTTTGTTCCCCTTCACCCATAGATGCTATATGCCAAATTTGTTTGAAATTGGTTGAGTGGTTTAAGAGAAGAAGCTAAAAATGTTCAAATTTTAACGCACGACGCACGCCGACGGACAAAAACGGACAATATGTCACCTGAGTGACTCAGGTGACCTAAAAATGGAGTGAAGACCCACCTATATAGAAATAAAATGTGTTATAGTATGAACAAATGATCCTTTTCCCCTTTTTGTTGCATGCATGCTATTTCATAGACATGATTTTAACACTTGTGAGATTTACTGAAAATAAGTCTAGAGATTTTACATAAAGTATACCACATGGCGGATTTAGAGGGGTTGCTTACCCCCCCCCCCTTTTCAAAAAAAATCCAAAAATTAGGTAACATGTGTATAACTGTCATGATATTAAAATGAGCAAACAGTATTAAGATACGTTGAAAATTGAAATACATGTAGATAAATGTATAATACACAACATTTGGCACACTTGTAAAAGCAGCATTACATGGATTTTACTTTTCAAGCAATCAGTATCATCGAGAAAATGATTACCTTATTTCCACAATACAGATCTGCCATCAGTTTTTGATACCAAAAAATTCTTAAGACAATAACCTACTAAAGATGTCGATTTACTTGTATCAGAAATTCTTTTAACCTCGGAAAGTGAAGAAGAATGATTTTGTTTGCACGTGAAAATGACAATCGAGGATTATATATTCCAAATTTATTTGAAAGTCTATTGATTAATTTAATACTACAATAATGGGAAAACTTGCATTGAGTCAAAAGGTGCCATGACACACAATGAAACGGCATGATAGAAGAGGGTCTGTGATGAAAGGCCGGAAGGGGGGGGCTTAAATGCAAAGAATATATAAGTAGACGGAATTCTACATACTACTTCAGATTATTGATACTAAAATGCGTTTGTGTTTGTAGGAAGGGGTGTAACTACACCTATAAAGGCTGCTATAAGGTTAGATTTTACTTTAAAAATCATTAACATTCAGGAGCTTCCGGGGGCTTCTCCGACATGTGTCCGGTCAGAAAGTAAATTAGGAGGTGCACAATGGCACCATGTAATAAAGATTATGTGAAAAAAAGTCTCATTAAGGTCTGACGACACGTTGCTCGAATATTTCATAATTATCATTATCTTGTGATTTCTAAACTGAACAAATTTATAAGTAAAGAAAGACACCAAAAATGTGTGATACTGCCAATGCTAGTGATTTCCATTAGGATTATCTATAGTCAACAACATCCTCTGGTATCTTGCACAAATGTCTGGTAAGGTATCTTAATTTTTTTGTGGGGAAACTTGTTAAAGTAGCAATACGAATACTTCAATGACAAATTCTTTGGGGAAATTATCTATTATTGAGGAACGGTTCGTCTGACCTTAAATTTTATTCAGTGATATAAGAGTTGTGGATAAAAGAGGGGTAACGGACGGACACCCTTATCACTATACAACCCCCGCTTTTTAGATCAGAGGGTCATTGCACCTTAACATAGCTATGTTTATAATTCGCGAATAAGCACTACATTTTCGCGTTTATTCGCGAAGCTCAGAAACAAAGGGGGAAAATCCTACGAAAATGTGCTCAATGGTCTTTCCTATATAGCACAAATATACGAGGGCCATTCAGAAAGTTTTGTCCTTGGTGCAATAAGAAACACAAGGACATGAAATCGTTTGCTTTCCTTCGAAGTACTCTCCTTTAACATGTATACACTTTTTCAGAAGAGAAATCAAACCCTTCACAAACTGAAGTTGTATTCAGATAAATGTCTTCTAAGTTTTGAGAACAGAAAAAAACACACAGGGGGAATGATCTAAAGAGTACGCAAGGTGAGGGATGACAATCCCCCCCCCCTTCTACTGATCAAGAAAATCAGTGACTAGTATTGAGTAATGGACTGGGGTTTTATCATGCTACAAAAAGACATTTGAAACCAGTTTTTGTTACGTATTGTTGTTTACGAGTACGTTTCTTCAAAATTTTACATTTGTACATCTTTCCAGTAATAATGATCTTGGGAATAGGTAATTACGTCACAAAACCCTCCCCATCAAAGAAAATAGTATAAAGAACCCTTTTGTTCTCCGACTGCTTTTGGCAATAACTGACACTGGATGCTTCCCATATTTTGTCATTTATACTTTAATCATTAAACGTTCTTTTCGGTTGAAAATAATTCGGATTCCCGCAAGTTTCATCTCCTGTTACTATACAAATGTATATATCTAAAATAGCCGATTTTTCCCTTTTTTCAAATAGCTTTTTTTCTTTTGCACATGAAACACTGTTAGCTTTCTGTTTCTCATTCGGTAAACGAGAAATCCATCTTGCAGGAATCTTCCTGTATCCTAGATCTCTTGTAAGAATTTATGAACTGCTTCCATTGATATCCCTATAGCAAACGAGCTAAGTCCTCGCCGCTTTCTCTACGAAATCCCTTATTTTGCATTACTGACCGTTTTTGGTCTCCAAGATCGTACATCATATTGAACACTCTCTGTACTTTCTCTGAATTTTTTCAACCACCTGGAAATTGTTCTATATAACGGTTGTTGGAATCCGTATACATTCAAGTTACCGATAGCCTCCGCAGAAATTAATGATATATAGGATACTGATTTTGATTTATAAACTGTACTTTACAAAATATTTAATCAGAGAGGTGTCAATGGACGTTTTGATGACATTTATTACATGGCGAGGTTGTGTGGCCTGTACTGTTATTGGAATATATAGTGCTATACATGATCATGATTACTAAAGTCGGGTAAGCACAAAATCCACAGCATTATAAATGTTGATATTCGATACTAAATGAGAAGTTATGTGAAATAAATTAAATTCTAAAAGGGATATTTGTAATTTAAGACCTGTGTGCCTATCGTGATTGTAAGCGAGTGTAAGAATGTTACAAATGAAGTGATAAATCTTTTGAGTACGAACAAATTATTTCAATATACGAGTGCCACAACCTTCGTAGAAAGTGGTGCATTGAACAAATGTAGGTGTACAGAGAAGCTTAAGTATTTATCGAAATCTTGGGTAAATACGGCTGTCAATTTAAACGGCATTGCCTTTTACCCCGGAGTGCGCAGTTTCTCCGTGTGCTGCCGACTACCCGGACCTTTACTTAGTTACTGTAAATAATACTGTCCAGCAAAGGAGTTTTAACGATTTGTAAACACTTATAGTCAAGTTACTCGTGAACATGGATTAAATTTCTCCGAAGTAAGTTTAATTTGTTTTAAATAATATAGCTAGGTGTTTGTAACGACTAATAATTTTTTTTTATCTATTAAATTTGGTCGACCCGATGTTCATAAAGGTGAAGTTCCAATGCAGTAGTTTCACATTTTAAAGTAATTTTATGTCAGTCATGAAGCATTGTTATCATCTTTGCGATTAATTTTCATGATATATTGAAACTATGTTAAACTAAAATTTGGTGTTGAGAGACATGCGTATATTACACGTAAATCATCTATTGATTCAGCCCCAGACCGATGTTGGAAGCTATTATACATTTGAAATTAAAGAGAATAGAACAAGTGCTCGATACGGTCGATTTCTATATAAAAATACTTATGTATCTGAAATGTACCTTCTTTTTAGTGACCTGGATTTTCGGATTGACTAATTATCAAATACTAAACCGATTTTCCTTGGATTAATTTCCAAAAAACTGGAATATTTCCCAACAAGGGATCACTAATAGTTTGTAAGATTTGACAGTATGCTCCGATCAATTCATTGATTTTTTTTTTTTTTACTTTGAATAAAATCAATGATATTTCAGATAAATAATCTTTACTAATGCCCTTTTCGATTATTTGTTACACGGTACATCAAGTATTATAAAATACCTATATGTAAAATTAACGTTAACCTCCACCTGGCAATTCAATTCGTATACACTTGATTTTTAAACAGCAAGATTAAATCTTTAGCAGCAAAACGAAAAATTGATTTACAATTTGAATTTCAATACAGAATCCTGTTGATATATTATTGGACCGTCCCATAATTTCACTTCAGGTAGATGCAGCTGCCATTAAATTGATCCCACCATTATGAAAAAAGAACAGTAAACAGCGCGGTAGAGAAATTTCTAACCTTTTACATACACTTAAATCTTTTTTTTTTAAACTCCATTTTCATATTAGCCCAAGAAACCATATACTTTAATGACACTGATCGTTCTTTTCGGTGACATTAAACCCGATAATTTAAATGAATTTTACAACTCCCAGTGAAATGCAAGTTTTTTTAAATTTTGATAAAGCACACTTGATTTACATATATAGGAGCCCCAATACAGTCTCCTGTTGACATTTTTTTTTTGCGTCCATTTAAGTAATATTTATTAAATGAGATTCCAGTTTTATCTCATGGTGGTATATTTCAAAATCTATTGGTTTACTCCTTTGCCTAATTGCGAATCCTTCTTTTTGAAGATAACTTCCTTAGTTGAAGAAAAAATTGCTTGATGTAATGATATGGAAGCTGTAGAGATACATTGAGAAACGTAAGTATACCTCCTTTTATGTTTACAATCTGATAACAGTCAACATCACATGATGAAAAGTTTCATTTTTATTTTAAAACTGAATTATTTTGTCAAAGACAACTCTTCTTGAAATAAGGTCTCTGATGAAACTGTAGCTCTACTGGTTTATATCTTATAATTTATTGGTTTTGTTTGACGCTGAATAGGCAGTATTTCAGCAAAATTTCCATAATAATGGAAGAGCAAAGTTGCATCTGGACTTAAAATACAATTTTCTTAATGTTTTCTAAACGTATTTTTATTGAAATCATATTAAGACTGCAGGAGAAATGATGTTTTGAAAGAATTTCACAGAAATTTTAGTAACATTGGCAAAACTGTTCTTCAGAATCATATCTTAGTGTAAGCCAGTTGTATACCAAGTTTTACTGAAATCGGACTCAAAGCTGTGGGAGGAAGAACATTTTGAAAAATCATTTAGAGACAGACGAACGGACGATAAACAGCTTTCATCGCATAAGCTCTTTTAGTCTTAAATTTATCAAAAATTTAATTTAAACATGATTGTTTCTAAGTTGATTTTTCAGTGTTTTGAAGAGAGTTTTTTTTCACTGTAAAACGTGTTATGACTTATGTTTTACCAGATTTTCTTAGAGTGCCAACATGATAACACATCAGGTTTATTATCTTCATTTTTCATTTCACAACAGAATTTTGACAATCTTGCTGTAGAGATATCAGAATTAACATGGCTGTAGCTCTGACCTATCGGGATTACCAGTAAGTTATCGATATGTTCATGAAAAATCATTCAAGCTGCCCACCTGTGTTATGAGTAATTTCTAAAACCTTGAACAATTTATTTTGAACGCTATTATGTGTGTGACTGAGCCAATATGATCGAAAGTCACTGAGAAATTAAAATACTTCTATCGGTTCTAATGAACCGTCATTTAGCTGTTGCTTGAAACAAGGTAAAATACAAATATTGATGTCAGAAATACAGCAATGCAGAAAACATATTTTGAAAAAATATATACTTCTCTTTCAGCAACAAATCCTTCAGCAAGTTTGAGCTGAAGATGATGGAACTAGAGGATCTAAAAAACGAGGCCAACAGACATGTCGGCCGCCTCAACTCGCTCAAAATGCGCTACATGGACTGGTTTCTCCGATGTCAGCAGTCCTTCCTGGACTCTATAAAACTCATTCACATTCTGGGAGGGGACCTGCTACCACGGGAAATTAACACTATCCGAAACTTCAAAAAAGTCATGAGATTTTCTGGACAGTTGCCGAGCAACGGAACACCGCGTGACGGCAGTAAAGGGAAAATGATTGGCTTTCTCCTTTTCTGGGAAGAAATGTTGACGCTGAAACGCGAAAATGACGCTTTGTATAGAAAGATTTGTGACTTTTGTAATAGTATTCGCAGGTTAAGAGAACCAATATTAAAAGATGAGATAGACCGTCTGCACCAGCGCCTCAACCTGTTTCTTTCTGAAGACTATGACTTCACGGCAATATCCAACGACCGACACAATCTCTTCACTTACCGCGTTGCTCTACACGATCACAGATATCACGGACTCGTCTCCTACATCCCCTTCTTGCTCAGCATTGCCAACAAACTGTGTTACTGGACTTCTAAACTCTACATCGAGTTCCTGTAGTGTTGTAGTAATAAATAAGTAGATATAAACTCTCCACCCCTAGCCCATTCATGATATTTGCAGTACTTTTTAAATCAGTACGTTTTACTTTCCCCCGAAAATATAATCTATACTCCTCTGTGATAAAGCCATACTGAAAAGATTTGGAAGTCGTGTGATTTTTGTGTAGTGTTTGCTCTATATTTACTTTGGGTATATAAACGTGTTTTCATTTAAGGAAGCTCTAAACATGCACTAATAAAAGAAAGTTTGTTTTTTGTTTTGTTTTGAATTTTTAGAATTTTTTTTGAATTTGAGAAAATTGTATCATTGTAAAGGTGTTCACTGAGTTTATCTAGTTCATTTTCAACATAGGGTATCTGCCATATTTCTCCTGGATAAATGTTCAGACAATGAAGTACAAGTGAACACAAATTACTGCTGTTTGCTTATTTTGGGAAAATACATGCGTACAATGTTTTTAATAACCTTTTCTTCGTCTAATATAATGTTAAGAATACATAATATACTTAAATTAATTGTGTCATTTACTGTAGATTTATATCTGTTCCTTTGTTCATCAAAGGGCAGATCGCTCTAACTGCATAGAACTACCAAGTAATTAGAATTCTTCAGTGAGCAGTGTTTCGAGCTTCCTTGAGGAGTTTTTGTTTGTTTGTTTTTCTTTGCATGAATTGTTGATTTCAGTTATTGTTATATTTGTATTATTTATTATCGAGAATAAAGTGATTTTTTTTCGTGAACAAGACATATTTTGAGTAGGTATTAGTTATTTTGGAATGAAACTTGTTTTGTCAAGACTTGCCTTGAATACTTTATTTGACTTTCGTTTTGTGACTCTGCATGTACTCTTCCATGTTTCAATAAAATCAGTTCGGAATTCATCATTTTCAGCAAATGTAGAACATTACCAAACATTTGTGTAGGGAGGTGTCAAAATTACGAAATTTGAAGTAAATTTCCAGGTGCAATTTACATATACTAGTATTAAACTTCTTTATTTTGACTTTGCTCAAATAAGTTGGTGGTGGTGGTTCCATATAGATGAAAGCTTGCAGTAGGCAACCGCACATTTTGCAAACCCCGATAAAAATTTTGGTATACATGTATCGAAATTCATGTAAATTGAGACTAAAAGCTTTCTTCAAATTGCAACACTAGCTCAATTTTACTGCATTACCATCTGTAAATGCCGAATTCTAAATCCTTAACGCCTTTCAGCTGTTCTATATATGTTCTGGATAAAATTTCATTTTGGGGTAATAGGCACAAATCAGACCCATAGAACGCCCGAGGGGGGAAATTTTTTCTGAATATAGTATATATAAAAAATTCTGTCCCCCACCCCCCGAACTTTTTTTTTGGTTGTAAGGTCGATCACTGGCAAATTCCAGGATTTGGACAGTTCATTTATTTCTTTGCTTGTCAGATATTTTTGGGAGCCCCCCCCCCCCCACTTGCGAAACCGTTGCTACGGGCCTGCAGATCCCCTTGATTTTACAGATATATCAATATTTAATATAAGATACTATGTCTTTGACTGGTGCTTTGTATCACTAGAGTTTGATATTCTTAATACTCATGCAAACAGTTGTCAGTTAGATGTGCAGGAGTATTGAAAAACATTTTGAGATGGCTTCGATCCCACCCTTCACATAATTATTGCGCCTTTGCAATGAGCGTAATAACGATATTTCACTTCGCGTTATTACGTACGTTTTCGCGTTAATTATAACGCATTTTCACATCGCATTTCAAGGCCTTTTTTGGCATTGTTTAGCAATAAAACGCCTTTTTACAAGCTCGTAGAACGGGGGGGGGGGCTTTTTCCGAGTATAGTATTTTGTGATAGTAAATTTTAATTTAGATGCTGGTCCCCCCCCCAACTTTTTGATGCTGTAAGGTCAAGCACTGGCAAATTCCAGGATTTGGGCAGTTAAGGTATTTTATTTTTTGGCTTGTCGGATTTTTTTGGGAGCCCCCCCCCCCTTTTGAAACCGTTGCTATGGGCCTATTTTACTCTACATTATCATGCCTTATACGTTTCTACGCCTTTTTCGTTTGCGTTATTGTGCCTTGTACGTTATTACGTCTTTTCAGTTTGCATAATAACGCCTTTTAATTCCCCCCCCCCCCCATAGACTGACCTTAAAAGGCTTTCTTACATCTTACTCAAGAAACAATGTTCAACGACATAATTTATATTCAGTATATACATGCATGACCAAATAAGCCCCCACTCCGAAGCCCTTACACTGGACCCAGTAGCTGTGCATTTCACAATTTTGGTAGAGGGTTGAGTAACTCATTGTAGTCATACTACATGTATATAAAGAGTCTGCTTGCTATGTCCATCACAATGAAGAGGAGTAATGTTTTTTCAATGTATGAACATCTTAGCCGACCCTTAACCCAGGGACCATGAATTTCACATCCAGGTGCTATTATAATCATGGAAATAGGGTGCCTGCCAAAAGAGGTCTTTAACAAGAGGCCCATGGGCCACATAGCTCACCCGAGCACTGTGGCTAGAAAAATGCAGAAATCAGTTCAGTATTGAAAAGTTTAACAAGAGGCCCAAGGGCCTTAACAGTCACCTGAGTATAAAACAACAATCCATAGAAGATCCATAGAGTATAAAATAAACTGATAGAAGGAGCTTTTGTAAATATTTGATCGTCCATTGTGGCCTCACCCTACTCCCGGGGGTCATGATTTGAACAAACTTGAATCTACACTACCTGAGGATGCTTCCATATAAATATGACTCATCACGACTTTGCTGTTCTTGAAAAGAAGATTTTTAAAGATTTTTCCTACGTATTTCTATATAAACTTTGATCATCCATTGTGGCCCCGCCTTACCCCGGGGGACATGATTTGAATCTACACTACCTGAGGATGCTTCCATATAAATATGACCAATCAGGGCTTAGCTGTTCCTGATAGGAAGATTTTTAAAGATTTTTCCTACATATGCCCTACCCCCGGGGGTCATGATTTGAACAAACTTGAATCTACACTACCTGAGGATGCTTCCATATAAATATGACCAATCAGGGCTTAGCTGTTCCTGATAGGAAGATTTTTAAAGATTTTTCCTATATATTTCTATGTAAAACTTTGATCGTCCATTGTGGCCTCACCCTACTCCCGGGGGTCATGATTTGAACAAACTTGAATCTACACTACCTGAGGATGCTTCCATATAAATATGAGTATAAAACAACAATCCATAGAAGATCCATAGAGTATAAAATAAACTGATAGAAGGAGCTTTTGTAAATATTTGATCGTCCATTGTGGCCCCACCCAATCCCTACAGTCCAGAGTATGATTTGAACAAACTTGAATCTATACTACCTGATGTTTGCATGTAAATATGACCAATCATGGCTTTGCTGTTCCTGAGAAAAAGATTTTAAAAGATTTTTCCTATATATTTCTATGTAAAACTTTGATCGTCCATTGTGGCCTCACCCTACTCCCGGGGGTCATGATTTGAACAAACTTGAATCTACACTACCTGAGGATGCTTCCATATAAATATGACTCATCACGACTTTGCTGTTCTTGAAAAGAAGATTTTTAAAGATTTTTCCTACGTATTTCTATATAAACTTTGATCATCCATTGTGGCCCCGCCTTACCCCGGGGGACATGATTTGAACAAACTTGAATCTACACTACCTGAGGATGCTTCCATATAAATATGACCAATCAGGGCTTAGCTGTTCCTGATAGGAAGATTTTTAAAGATTTTTCCTACATATCTCTATGTAAAACTTTAATCGTCCATTGTGGCCCCGCCCTACCCCCGGGGGTCATGATTTGAACAAACTTGAATCTACACTACCTGAGGATGCTTCCATATAAATATGACTCATCACAACTTTGCTGTTCTTGAAAAGAAGAGTTTTAAAGATTTTTCCTATATATTTCTATGTAAACTTTGATCATCCATTGTTGCCCCGCCCTACCCCTGGGGGTCATGATTTGGACAAACTTGAATCTACAATACCTGAGGATGCTTCCATATAAATATGACTCATCACGACTTTGCTGTTCTTGAAAAGAAGATTTTTAAAGATTTTTCCTACGTATTTCTATATAAACTTTGATCATCCATTGTGGCCCCGCCTTACCCCGGGGGACATGATTTGAACAAACTTGAATCTACACTACCTGAGGATGCTTCCATATAAATATGACCAATCAGGGCTTAGCTGTTCCTGATAGGAAGATTTTCAAAGATTTTTCCTACATATGCCCTACCCCCGGGGGACATGATTTGAACAAACTTGAATCTACACTACCTGAGGATGCTTCCATATAAATATGACCAATCAGGGCTTAGCTGTTCCTGAGAAGAAGATTTTTAAAGATTTTTCCTATATATCTCTATGTAAAACTTTAATCGTCCATTGTGGCCCATCCCTACCCCTGGGGGTCATGATTTTAACAAATTTGAGTCTACACTACCTGAGGATGTTTCCATATAAGTTTCATCTTACCTGGTCCAGTGGTTCTTGAGAAGAAGATTTTTAAAAGATACCATTAATTTTTCACTAATTCTTAATTATCTCCCCTTGGAAGAAGGCGTTGCCCTTCATTTGAACAAACTAGAATCATCATTACCCAAGGATACTTTGTGGCAAGTTTGGTGGAAATTGGCCCAGTTGTTCTTGAGAAGAAGTCGAAAATATGAAAAGTTTACGCACGACGCACACCCGCACGATGACGGACGAAAACAGATAGAATAGGTCACCTGAGTGACTTAGGTGACCTAAAAATTAAAGTGGTTCCGGGGGAGGGGGGGGGGTATGATTTGAACAAACATGACTAATAATATCTTTGCTATTCTTAAGAAGACATTTTTATTGATTTATCCTTTAGATTCCTTTGTATAAGTATGATCCCCTCTTATGGCCCCTCTATACTCCTAGGAGGTCATGATTTGATCAAATTTGAATCTACATTACCTGCAGAGGATGTTTTTATTTTATTATGACCAATCACGGTTTTGCTGTTCTTGAGAATAAGATTTTTAAAGATTTTTCCTATGTATCCTATGCAAAATTTTGATTATCCATTGTTGCCCCACCCTACCCCCGGTGGTCATGATTTGAACAAACTTGAATTTACATTATTTGAGGATGTTTTCATATAAATATGATCAATCATGGGTTTGCTGTTCTTGTAAAGAAGATTTTCCCTATGTATTCCTATTTAAAACTTTGATTGCCCACTGTGGCCCCATCCTACCCCCCGGGGGTCAAGATTTGAACAAATTTGAATCTACTCTACCTGAGGATGCTTCCACGTAGCTGCAGAACTGTAGCTCTTCGAAAAAAAAATATTGACAGACCGGAGATATTGATATATCCGATATATCTCCGGTCTGCCAATATTTTTTTTCGGAGAGCTACAGTTCTGCTGCTAGCTTCCACGTAATTTTCGTCTTTTCTCGCAAAGTGGTTCTTGAGAGGAAGATTTTTAAAAGATCCCATAATTTTTTTACGAATTCGCAATTATCTCCCCTTGAAAGAAGGCGTGGCCCTTCCTTTGAAAAACTTGAATCCCCTTTAACCAAGGATACTTTGTGGCAAGTTTGGTTGAAATTTGCCCAGTGGTTCTTGAGAGGAAGATGAAAATGTGAAAAGTTTACAACGTCCGACAACGGACAAATTTCGATCAGAAAAGCTCACTTGAACCTTTGGCTCAGGTGAGCTAAAAGGTGCAATTATTTTCAATATACAATAAACTAAGCACCATCCTTTTCTTGAACCAGAAGCTAAAAATTTTACGAAGAAGGAGGGCGCTTTTGATTGGTATTCGGAAGGAATCTGGGCGGACTCGAAAAGTGAAAATTTCATTGATCT